ACTTCACGCCTTTCAAGGATGGATAGTGGCGCAAAACGTATGCCATGAGGGTATCAGCGACGCGTGCGTTTATGTTGTAAGCCTTCACATCTAGTCTAGTCGAGGCACCAAGCAGCACAGAGGCGACAGCTCGGATCTTCGCTTGCGTCTCAGAGTCGAAGAAGTCCAAGGCTAGTAGTGGTACCGGTTTCGCAGGGTCGTGGCCACTCAGTACTCGGGCACCTTTGTGATCTTCGGCTGGAGTGTTGAAGACGTATGCGAATGCCTTGTTGGTCGACGTTATATTCCACACGCCTCTATCGAAGATCCATTGGACGGGCATACCTGACCCGTTCGTGTGCTGCGCTCCTCCATGTCGAAAGGAATGCGAAGCCAGGCTATCGCTCACACCTGTCTTACCCATGACTCGCCCGAGAGCGCGATTCACGTAGCTGTGGATATCCGGCGAGGCGTCGACCGGATTCGGCTGTCCACCAGACTTCGGTGCGTCTTAAGAATGGTCGCTCAAGTTAATCAGAGGTGCAGCTGGCGTCTGAGGTGGTAGGGAGTGTCCCTGCTGTTCTGAAAGCTGGTTGAGAAGTGCCGCTGTTAGTGACGAGTGCGTGATAAGCGCAAGGGCAACGGCAAGCAACGGACACGTGGTAAAGTCGGAGTCTCGGAAGAGTGACTAGCCTTGCAACTCGGAAGTCTTGACCGGATGAGCCGAACGAAAAATATATCACCGGAACCAATCGTCAGATTGGTTTCGCGGAGAAGGGTCAGGTCCGATGCACGCCCGAAGAGGTACCAGAGTAAGCATAAGGGGGCCGCATCTTGGTAGTCGCTGGCGCAAGTTGCAGTTGAATACAAGTATTCGGTCATCTGCTTAAAAGCTTTCTTCGTGCATACTGGGGCCTCGTTAACAAACGTTCCTGTCTCGCGTTTCATGCAGTAGTGCTCCAACACTTGGCCTTTCTTGAGCATATTATTTCAACTGCGACACGATGCTGGGGAAAATGGTCGAGCAACCAGTTCTTTGCCTGTCGGTAGTACTGCTTCACCGAGTGTCGAGCTAGAAGCTGCACCTTGCGGTCTTTCTTGAAGGCGAGATACTTGCCAAATTTGTCCACCACACCTTCGAGAACCAGGGCGACCGTATCGCGGCTCATAGACGCTTCCAAGTATTCCCACGTCACATCTTTTTTTAGAAACGCTAGAAACGAGCGTGCTGTGCTTTCTTGGGCGCGCTTCATGTTGGAGGGCGCAAGATCGTCGAGGCTCATACTGAGTCGGAGATGTCGGAGCTTTCACGTCATTCGATAAATATGTAAATGATTTACAGTTTGTAAAAGGATATCAATAACTGGACGCTCCCTCCGACCCGATATGTCGGAGCCAACTCCAACGAGGGCCAACCTAAACCTTACCATTTGGATTGGCCAAATCATTTTGTCAAGACCGTACGATTGGTTGTCTAATAAATAAAAACGGATGTTTGGTGATTAATACAAATACTAAAATTTAGTAGGTTCGGAGAATTGATGATATTCATCCATACCGGTAGTGAAAAGGAAAGCAAGTGGCTAGCGTCTGCAATTAAAGGCGCAATAATTATATGTTACGCGAGCTAAACGACCAGCATCAACCGGACGATCTTTTTTCTCTTCAAATTCACAATTATTACCCGTCATGATACGCTTCCGTTATATCAATCACCGGTGACGGCGTGGGTACCGCCCCCGGTGACTGCCTGGTTACCTTTTCCATTCTTGTTAAGTGAGCTAAGCGTCCAGCATCGACTGGGAGCTAACGATCTGACATTTCAAATACACAGGTCTTAGCGGGCACTTTACAAGCCAAATTCTACCCCCCTTCATGTTACGCGAGCTAAAAGTCCGGCTTCTTGTCCAACCCTCGAGATCGCTGATCGAAGATTGTACTGATTTAGCGAAATTATTACAGGACTGGTTTCTCCGCACATGTTGTATTACTCTACCGAATTGAGCATTTACGCAACCGGCCCAATCATCTAGTAGTCCTAATTCTGAAAATATGTAGGTACAAGTCTCTGGTAGCACTTAACAATTTTATTTACATAAGCTCATACTAACGGATGCGCCCGAATAAAAGCCCCCTTCCGAATAGTGTCCTGTGGGGTGCTACATGCCTGCACTATTAAATGCAAGCCTCTCCCGAATAGAGTCCTTTTACAAGCTACCAAACCTGTATTACAAACTTACTGACCATTCATTATACAGAGAGGAACAATTTTTGGCAACAGGCCGAACGTTGCCCCCACTTTTGGTCTGGAAAGGAACATATTCACCGTCTTTTAAAAACAAAGTCAGGGCCACTTGTTGTGGCACACCAACCCCGAGCTTGGGCTAATAGCGAGCTGCTCAAGAAGTGGATTGATGTGGCTATCCCATTTGTGGTGCACAATGAACGTAAATGCTTGGTTTGGGACAGCATGGGAGCCCACATATCGTTAGTATATATGTTAGTATATATGAGTTCTCCGGTCCTAAATTTTTTTTAACAGAGTGTTTTTAAAAAAAAAACTCGTGTGTTTGATTGTTCCATATCCAGTTTTATACGTATATGATTAGATAAAAATGCATCATTAGACGATTTGTATGCCAAGCTAATTGGCTGTTTTCGAAACGATTATGAATCAGATTGCTTTTCGAAGCTCCTTCTTCAGGATATTTAAAGTTTGATTTTGATTAGATTTGATGATGCTGCGAACAAAACTTCAGCCTCCACAAAGTGATCATTTAAATGTTCGATATTGACGCTTTTGCGCCTTGCCAAAAAAAATGGGAGTAGTACTGAAACTCGCTCTGTTTACATTTATTCGACAGAGTTAAAGTTATCGCAAGTTAAATGAACGGGTCATTCTTTAGCGGACCGGTAAAGTAGGATGTTTTCATTAAAAAAAAAGTCAAGAGCTTCCCCGTGTGCAACACGGCATTGTTAGTTCTTCTTACGTCGCCACATATTCTTTCGCAAATTTTTCCAGCGCCAAAATGAAGACCACACACCGTTAGAGTGAGCAATCACTGAATCGTGCGGGGGGAAATGCAGTGCGCGAATTTTAAGCGCCATCAGCACTAAGCGATTAAGCATGCTGGGGATGCAAAGACACGTTACACAGGTAATTGCAAAGCGAGTGGGTAGCAAGAAGGTGGCCTGACATGGCAGTCTATGTTACTAATGTGACAGAGGAAACTACTTCGAGCTCTCGCCTGTTATGGACGCTGGTAAACTAATCTGAGAATGCTAATGTCAAACTTCGAGCAGCCGCGGAACTAACATATGGGCCTTTGATAAGAGTGGAATGACTGACAATAAGAGTTAAATATAATCACACTTTTATACAGGTACGTGTAACCGATTCAGTGTACTTGTACTTTATTAGCTAATCTACAGGCATGTAATGGCTTGCTTTTGAAACTAAATAATGTGCCTATCTGATAATTGGTGACATTAGGGGAACAAACACATCTACTACTTAATACAAGTATTCATCATATTAGCAACTTTTTTTAAATATCTAGAGATCAGTATCCCGAATATTTGGAGTAGTTTTACCCGATACTTACTTACCTTCATGTTACTGTCATCCTCTGATGAGGCCAATCTCGACAATTGCGGACCCGGGCTCAGGCGCGCGGGGAATTCGCATTTTTTTAATCGCGTAAAACGTTTTCCGGTCTTGTTGAAACGGTGGAATTTTAACCTTTAAGATCTAGGTCGAAAGCGTAATGGTAGTTTGGGTACAATCCTACTCGTACGCGTGATTCTCGATAGTTTATAAGTGGCTTTGTACTGAATATCATGCGAAGCATAGAAACAAACCATTCCTATACTTGAAGATTTGATACTCAGGTTTGCCATGTTTGCAAGGCAAATTGAATCTACGACTAAGGAGAGAATACTTGCTCAAACTAACTGCTTCTGGCCTCGTTTGAATATATTATGGTTCGGCTTTTCGTTCATGCAAGTTCATCGCTAACAACATGTCAAAGTTGCAGGATGACAAACTCTTCACGCGCACAGAGCTGTCAGCTTTTAAATTCTGAGGCAAATATTTCTTGGTGCCGGTATAGTATTTATATAAAAAGGCTGTAAGTAGAACGACGGAAAAGTTTGTCTTCCTGCAACTTTATGCTAATCTACAAAAAGTTGCGCAACCAACCAGTCATAAGCAACTTACCGTAACATGTCAGCACTTCGAAGAACTGTGTTACTGTAGGGGCAAAATTAGGGGCAATGGATTTTTTTTTATTAATTTAAACTAAGCGAAGTTGCGCCACCAGCGGTGTTTGTCATTTTAGCAGCTACATCCTGCATCATCATGCAAAGATAACTAACGTCGTGCAGCCACCATGCTAGTCACGAAACGCCAGTAGCTTTATATAAGCAGTAAGGTGCTCGTCAACTCGCCGACAAAGCACCCGCGACCCGGTCCCAAGGAAATGCATAACATTGTATCTCCTGTAAGGAGCTCGTCAAAGACTACACAGTGTCTTAAACTCCATTACCTGTACATGTAATTCGCGTTACTCACAGCATCTTTTGACAAGCGCCGTGTGGTCGGGAGCCGAGCTCGTCATGAAACTCAAGAGCAGGTACAAGTACAATTTCAGCAGGGCGCAGCAATCAACTGCTCTTCGAGATAGCGAATAAAAAATATCAGCCCCCCCCCATGCTCCTTGAGTCTTTTAACAACTGATAGTAAAATTCAAGCAACACTGCAGCTAGAACCCGTAAATTACGATCACTGCACTTTTCAACTGCTACTGAAATCACATGATGCTTGTGCTGGACTTGACACTCTGAAAATGATTGCGCTGGGTTCGACGACACCTTACGAAGATGTGATGCGTGGATCCTTCGCGGTCTTAAATCTTTTTAGCAATATGTTGAGCCCCTCGGTGTACTTCTTCCGATCCGCCTTAGTGAGACCATTGAAGTAGGTAATGTCCTTCCCGAGTGCGATTCTTGAAACGTCAACGTCAATTTTTCTCAAGAGGGATATTACTGATACCCCTTTCTTCGGACACGGGACTAGGCGCGTGGTGAGTCCTTAGAAGACGCTGGTCGACTTGATTTGGGCCTGTGAGAGCCGCGCTGGTAGCCACAAAGGTAGCTGCGATCACAACGAAAAAGGAAGAAATACGCATAAAAAAAGTGGCCGGAGATTGGGAGATGGCGCGTAAATTGCGGAGTGAGATAGAATTAAATACCAGCTGCCATTGGTCGTTATCGTCAGAAATTTTACGAACTCTTGGTAATTCTGGATGTTTCGCTTGGACGAACTCGCGACAAATATCGTACCGTAAACTCATAACGAGACATGAAACTGGCCACGTGTTCACCCGACTATGTCTACGAATATTTTATACGGAATTAGCCAGCGTATAAACCGATCTTTGAGTCGTTTTTTTTAAATTAATTAACGCTGCCTTTTTTGCTGTAGAACTTAATGCGAGTTATCTTTTAAAGCTTACATTACGGAATGTCTTAGGTTTCGCTATTCATAACAGCAGCACGTCACAACGACAACACATGTGCAATGGACTTAGTGTTGTACAGGATTTTCGCAAAGTGTTGAGTACCGTAGCATAATCGTTTAGTCCCTGGTACAATCACTGTCGCATTTTCTCGAAATTGAGAGTATGCGTTCGAGGCTTGTAGTCGTCGAGTGTCAAGAAGAAAGGAAATCCGAAAGTGAGTTTATTGAGTTAGTTGTTCTTGTCTTGCTTTGCTAGCTCCTTTCTACTTTCCTCCGTAGTCCTCCTAATCACATGTAAATCCATACACAAAATATACATTTTCGTCGGCAACGCCTATACTCGTCATAAGTGTTGGCGACGAAAATCACTTGAGTTTCGTATGTGGACTGGATATGCACAAATCCGACCCTGGCATTAATCATGCCAATCATTTGGGATCATCCAATCAGATAGATCCATTCGACCCACTTCAACTTATTACCCCTCAGGGCACACGCTTGCCACGCACCAACCACGTGCTCCAGGCGCGTGCCTAGAAGTAGGAACCCATGCGAAGTGACGGCGAAGTGCAATCACAACACCCCCACTCAATTCGACGTCTCGAGCTTGACGACCAAATTGCTCTTCATCATCAAGTAGCGTATCGTCTTCGACGACAGACCTTTGGTAAGGAAGTCCGCGAGCTGGTTCTTGGTTTCCATATACTCCAGCTCAACTTCACCACTCATAACTTTTTCACGAATAAAGTGGTAGCGAATGTCGATGTGCTTGGTACGAGCTTGATAACCGACGTTCTTCGCCAACGCCATAGCACCTTGGTTGTCCTCGTAGATCTCCGTAGCCCCCACTTGTTTAGCACCAATGTCCTTGAGTAGTAGACGCATCCACACCACTTCCTTGATGCAGTCACTTAGTGACATGTACTCGGCGTCAGTCGAGATTTGGGCGACGGTCTTCGAAAACGTAGAGCGCCAAACCATAGCTGCCCCGCACATCATTAGCATTGTCTCGCTAACCGAACGTCTGTCATCGCGGCTGCCAGCCCAGTCTGCATCCAATTAGGCGACGAGCTCCGTTCCTTGCGAACCGTCGTACACGATGCCCACGTCCTTGGTCTTCAACAGATAGAGCACCACCTTGATTCCAGCATCCCAGTGCTTCTCACCAGGGTTCTCCAGAAAGCGACTCAACTTGGCAACAGCAACCGAAATGTCAGGTCGTGTGCCACACGCCAGGTACATGATGCTACCAATGAGCGATCGGTACGGCTTCAGCTTCATCTTAGCCTTGTCTTCATCGGTCTCCGGTCCGTCCTCCTTAGTCAAGTGTAGACTTGGGTCTAGTGGCATCAGGCTTGGCTTCGCGATTTCTTGACCGAGCTGCTTGATGATCGACTCGGTGGTGTATGCGCGTTGTGAGATGCCAAGCTTCTTGCCATCGATGTAGTAGTCGATCTCGATACCGAATATGAAACGGGCGGGTCCTAGATCCTTGATCTTGAACTTCTCGGCGATGCCAGCCTTTACCGACGCGACGATGGCCTTGTCTCATGATGCAATCAGCAGGTCGTCCATGTAAAGACACACGATGCACTCATCACCACCTGCAGCTCTCGTGTAGATGCACGGGTCCGCGTCAGCAGCCTGAAACCCCATGGTATTGAGATGGTTGTCGATGGTCTCGTTCCAGACACGAGACGACTGCTTGAGTCGGTACAGACCTTGCAGTAGCATGCAGACGACATCGTCTTCACCTTGAGCCTTTGCCAGTGCCAGTAGCTTCCGAAGGCCTTCTGGCAACTCCATGTAGATCGCTTCTTCGAGCTTCCCGTACGGAAACGCTGTATCCACGTCGCACTGCTCGATGTCGAATCCTTCCGCACAACACTTGGCCAGCACTGCCCTGATTGAGTTCAGGTAAGCCACAGGCGCGTACGTCTCTTCGTGGTCGATGCCCTGTTGTTGTGAATACCCGTTTGCCACAAGACGAGCCTTGTGTCGAATCACTTGCCCCTTCTCGTTGCGCTTCAACGCGAACACCCAGCGGCAACCGATCGGGCGCTGGTGCGTTGGTCTTGACACTAACTCCCAGGTACCGTTGTCCGTTAGCGACTTGAGTTCACTTGCAATCGCTTTCTTCCAGTTTTCTTGGTCCGCACTAGTAGTCGCCTCTGTGTACGTCTTCGGGACATCCTTGGTGGCCGCCATCCGCTGTTCACGCTCAACAATGGCGAGTTCGTTACCACTTGGCCTCGGTCGCTCTTGAGTCATCTTCTGACGCTTTGTCCCACTCGACGATGGCGTATCGATAATTTGCTTCTTCCTGGTGCTTGCCTCTTCAGGATCCGCTGTCTCGTCAATATGCCAAACACGCGAACGAGTAATCATAGGATGTGTTGCGTCGTATGGCACCATTGCAGTATCCATGCTCACGTCACGCTGAAGTGGAATCACGTCAGCAACTTACACATCGGTGGGATCGATTTGCGTGGAGTCAATCAGCAGCATCTGATCCACGCTTGGCACCAATTCGTCAGTGGCGTCTACTGCATCCAAGTGAGTCATGATGCGCGCAGGATCAGTTGTCTCAATAAACTTCACGGTGCGCACGATTTGCACCTTTCCTGTTGCCATGTTGTGACGCGGTACCCCTTCACCCTGTCCTCGTAAGCCATGAACCGACACTTGAAAGCTTTTGCATCCAGCTTGCGGCGCTTCTCGTCGGGAATGTGAGCGTATCCAGCTGCACCAAACACCTTCACGTTCTCGAGTTGTGGTTTGGAGTGACTCACAATCTTGAAGGGTGTCTTCACATTAACCGAGTTGAAGATCCGATTGATGATCCAGGCCGCAGTGCTTACTGCCTCTGCCCACCACTTCCTGTCGACACTCTCATAATAGATCATGCAGCGAGCCATCTTTACGAGGCCCGATTCATCCGCTCAGCCAGTCCATTCTGCTGAGGTGTGTACGGTACCGTCTTCTCATGCTTGATGCCGCTGCGGTTGAGGCAGGGCTTAAACACCCGGCCCGTGTACTCACCGCCGTTGTTCGAGCGCAGGCACTTGGTTGTTTTACCAGTTGCATTCTCTATTCCGGCCTTGTACGTTTTGAACTTCGACAATACTTCCGATTTGGCCTTCATGAAGTAGATCGTAACGTGGCGTGAGTAGTCGTCAATAAATGTGACGATGTACGTACAACCACGAGGTGGCGTGGTTTGCATCGGACCCATTACGTCCGTATGCACCAGAACAAGCTAACCGGCACTCTTGACGAGCTTCTCCGGATGTCTCGGGTAGTCGTCAGCTTCATCTTGCCCATGTAGCAGCCTGCACACACGTCGTCGCCGTGGACTTCTACCGTGACGCGAGGCACTCCTTCTGCCATGGTCAGTAGTTTCTCGTAGCGCTTGTACGGGATGTGGCCAAGTCGGGCGTGCACAACAGCCCATGGCTCCTTACGAGTAGTCGTTGCAACATGACACACCTCGCCCCCCACTTTCTTCGACTTGTAGATATGTTCACAGCGCTTCGCCTCCATGACGGTAGCACCACCAAAGCTAAAGGTACACTTGTCCTTGCTGAACTGCGCGGTGACGTCTTTCTCGACCAGCTTCGAAACCAAGATGAGGCTTCCGTCAACTTCAGGGATGCACAGGACATCCGACAGCGTGACAGACCTCCCGTCCATCAACTTTATACCGAAGGTGCCTTTTGCAACTGCGTCGATCTTCGTGCCATCCGCGATCGTGATACGGACTGGCGTCTTCAGCTCCTTCATGGATACGAACTTGTCCTGGACGCTGGTCATGTGCGAACTTGCACCTGAGTCGACGTGTCATTCACTCTTGGTCATCGCACTCGTTGTCATGAACGAGAAGTCGGGCGCTTTCTCTCGAGACGCTTGCCCTCGTTCCTCGTCGGCCTTCTTCTTAAGGCACTCAAACTCTCGATGCCCTAGCTTCTTGCAGTAGAAGCACTTGCTCTTGAAACGTTGCTTGCCACCGAAATCTTTCTTCTTCGTAGCGAAAGCTTTCTCTTTAGCCGATGACGATTCATCCGGGGCTTGAACACCAGAGAGTGCTTGCATCACGCAGGCCAGCGTCACGTTCGGTGTGCTCTCAAGGGCAGTACTGTTCATCTTGTGCTCGTCCGTCAAACTGCCAAAGAGCAACACGTGCTGGCGAGTGTAGTCAAGGTAAATACTATTTAAGTACTGTTCACGGACTCCGTGACACTGAGAGCTGCTGTCAGCTGGATCTGAGCGGCGCCGCATTAAGTGTGCGTCATGTGGGGTGTCCTATTTTACTATCGGTTTTGCATTCAAATCACCATCGAATTGGATAAAACGTATTCGTATTTTGAATCTCGCAAATACTTGCCTCGATGCCACTATTTCTTTTGCGCTTCATGTGAGGTCACAAAAACCTATAGCTGACAAGTGTGGTCTCTGCTAAATAAATTAAACAAACAAAGGATAAGTAAGACTCGACAGTCCGTGTCTTACTCGCGCCAAAAAAATAGGAATTATGATTATTTCCAAAAGTAACAAGCACACTGAGCAAATATTTTAGTATACCATAGCACCAGATTATGGGATGTCTCGCATACGATGCACAATCTTAAACCCTTAAAATGTCTACATATTGCCATGTGCATGCAGCAT